GAGAGAGAGAGAGAGAGAGAGAACAGGGTGCAGGAAACTGGAAGGAAGGAGGTCCCGACCCGGTCTGGTCCTCGGTCTCGCAGACTCTCTGGCCTTGAGCCGGCGCAATGCTAGCAATGCAGGTGAACCACTCCTCTCTCTTTCCTTCTTTCGCGCTCGGCCACCTCTCCTCCTGCGCCTCGCGTCTCTCTCCTCTCACCAGCGTCGTCAACCACCTTTCTCCTTCCCGCGACCATCCTTCGCGGTCTTTGCATCCTTCTCCCATCCCTTTCTCTCTCTTTCGCCAACCTCCCTTTCATTCAGTTCACTCTCTCCTTCGGCGCAGCAACGAACAAACGAACGAACGAACGAACGCGCGACACACGCGAATCTTCCTCGCTCGCCCCTTACTCGCATACCATTGCTTCCTTTCTTTCACGTTTTTCCCGCCACGTTCAACCATTCCAACCTTCATTAAGCAGCTTTTTAATCGCGTTTATCGAACGATCGCCATCGTAAATCGCGCACGCTGACTCTCTTCTTCTTCTTCTCCTCCTTCTTCTCAACTTCGATCGGACGAAGGGAAACTGGGATTTTTTTTTCTAGGTGAAAATTGCAGAGAACGAACGATGTTTGCGTGCTTGAGAGTAGAAAGTATTTCTGCGCAGAAATGTTTGCGAAATATTCGAAGCGAGGTACTCGTTGTAACATTCAGCGAGCGAAATACGAAAGAACGTCTGAATTTTGTACGTCGCGCGACTCCGCGCGTTCGGTCCACGATAGTATTGTATTCGTGAGTATCCTCGCGAATGCTATGCACATACACTGCGAGACGATGAAGTTTCAGGTCACCCAGGGTTTCTCGTAAAACTTTACTAATCCACGTATAATAATAGAATTTTATCTATCTGAACGAACCAATTGCGTCCGATCGAACCAATTCTTACTGATTGTGTACACCTATCTGACCGTGATCTATCGTGGACGAAAAATCACAAGATGAATCAGCGGACCCCGATTCTACAGACCGTTTGTCCCTGACAAGGAAAATTCGATTTTTATCGAAGTTGCGACAAAAATATCTGAACTGCTGATTTGAACAATACCGATACTAAATAAATCTCTATCGAGACTAGTTTCAAGAGTTTGAGAGTAAAAGCAGAAAAGGGGGGTTTAAAATGCGCTGATTCTACGAGAGACTCTCCCCAACTTCTGCGTCTATTTTCTAACCAGCTGAATCCCAAGAAACTGAACGAAAACGATCGGCCAAACGAGCCAACGTAACAATATCACGAAACAGCCTATCGATCGTACCACCTTTCTACGGAGCAGAAGGGTCATCAGATAGGAACACGCAACTCTATTTATTCGGTGAAAACCCGGTGAGACATTTTTGTCCAGCGTGAATGGTGTGTCAGAGAGAAAGAAAAGATTGGTTGAAAAGGTTCTTTGGACGAGAGCGTTTAGACGTTTTCCTTCGGGTCGGGCTACTACGTTAGTCCTTGTGCGACGACGCGACAATGTCACGGACGTCCATGGTTCTTCAGGGACAGCCGCTGCGGCACAATCTTGACATCGATACGGCTTTAACTGCACGCCACGGCGCGCGGTCCCAGGCGTTTAAACGCGAGAGGAAAGGGACACGAGCCGCGACGCGAGGTCGTCTCGGGGGCGCGAGCTCGTAATTGCGGCCATAACCAGAGATAGAAATTCTTTCGTTCTCGCAGAATTCTCGTGAATTCCGATTTAGCGTGGAAAAGTATCGCGCGTATTCTTCATCGGATCGTATTAAAGTTTCAACTTTATACGCTCAAAATAGCTCCTAGTGTTCTTCGTTCCTCTAAATTTAACTTTTTAGCAATCGTCGACTTGGAATGGAAATTTTATGCGAACGAATTTAACAGAGTTGCGCGAACGATCGGAACGATAAATAATATCGAGAATTCGAATTTTCGAAGATCACAATGTAGAACGCAATTCTTTTTGCTTTCGTCTTGGTCGAAAATTTCAAGACGAGAAACGCAGTTTCCATTATTTTCAAAGCGTGAAATAATAAAGTCACCACAAATCTCTCTCTCTCTCTCTCTCTCTCTCTCGACAGTTTGTCATTGGTTTCGTACGATCAAGC